ATTTATAATCAATGAAGCTCTCTACACTGCGCAATTAATCTCTTATTTACACCCTGTATACACTTTGCTTATGAAAGGATTCGTGAAATATGTCTGTGATACATTACTCAACGCTGCAAAAACACGTAGAAACCTTTGAAGCTCCCCTGAGTGCAATCACAAGTATGATGATGATCGGGTCAGTCGCACTGGTGCTCCTAAAAATTTTTCATAGTCGCACGCAGTAGTTTTCAGTCGCAAATGCGACTGAAATGGTCGCACTGTAGAGTGTCTTTAGTAGACATGGCTGCCAGAAAAGTTTTAAACTACTGGTAAAAAAAATAAAAAAAATAATAATAATAAAAAACAATATATATATATATTCTTCAATTTTGATTGTGTGAGCTGTATTCAGAGACATCTTAAAACTTATTAAATAATATTTATATATATTATAAATATAAGTATTTATATAATTAATATTGTATTGTTTATTTTGATTATTATTAATAATAAATGTTACTATTTAATTAACATTGTTATAGGAACCCCATACCCACAGTGAAAATCACTGTAACACATGGTCTCTTGTGGCTTATTGCTGTTGTCCAGGATGCATGAGGACACATCTCACTGTCTCTCTGTTGTTTTACCCCGATCCTGGGCTGACAATAACCAATCCCAAATTCACAAATCATAACAGCTCAATTCCCAACAGTTTCCGTAAGATCCAAAAATCTAAGAATAATAAATCTAGGAATAATAATCTTAACTGCCTCAGTGTCTCAGCACACCCTTTATGTTTTTCTTTTTTTTAATTCCACCTATGTCCATATTAGCAAAGGAGTATGGGTGTAAGTGTCTTTGTGAGTGTCTCTATGTCTCCGGCCCTCTCCAGAGATCATCAATCATGTCATATCGAACTCCTTTCTTTATCACAAGCCACCTCTCGCCTCTGCTTCTGACAGGCCATAATAATTGCACTGTGTTGCCATGACATGTTTAGTGTTTTGGGCTGGATAGCTATGCTGTCAGCTGGCTGAAATAAAACACAAACAGAAAAAGGCTGAAGGAAGAAGAAAGGCTATTCTCAGTCTAATTCTGGTCCCCATTCAGAGTGCACCTAAAATTATGTCTGCAGACTTACTGTGTTTAGTGCTGAAGACAGTTTTAATAACAGTGCAATGTGTGGATGCATGCCCAAACATAGATGCCTCATTGGTTATCACTTGTTTCTCAGGCTCAGTGGCCAGAAGATAAATCTTCATGGATATTACAAGAATAAAAGGGCTGCTAATATACAAGATGTCTAATATACAATGTGCACACATGATATTACACAATACATCATATGAAGGATGAATCTCAATTGCAAGTCTGTTTCAAGAAAAAGTGTGTGTTATAAACTCTTAAGGGTGGGATGCAGGTACACTGAGAAATGACCTCACTTCCTGTAGTTGAGGTATCACAGCTTTACACACGTAGGTGGTGCCGCAGTTCCCACCATGCACCCACTAACAATTCCAATGCTATGTCATGAGGATGAAGCGATAACAGATTAAATGCTAAAAAAAACAGGGGGGTGGAAGGTTGAGAAGAGGATGTTTGTGAATTATTGATGATCTCCTGACAAAACCTATAGCAACTGCTATATAGGGACTGTGTTTGTGTGAAATGTGTCCAATTTGGTGTTGGAAACCATCATGTTAAGTCTTACAATGTTGACAAAGTCTGATATATGCTCATTATTTGGCACTCTGCATCTCAGAGTTTAATGTTTGAGTAGGTTTGTACATTTCCTGCAGAGTTCTGCTTGGGTGGTTGTCAGGCCATTGCTATACAGTCCGAATGGTATCAAGCATAATGTTATGCAGTTGCTAAAGTGTTCTGAATGGCTTTTAGCATGTTGTTTTGCAGTTATCAGGGTGTTCTGGATGATCACAAGGGCGTTGTTAGTTGGTTGCTTACAAAAATATTCTCTCACTTCCCCTATAACATTAACAAAGTCTTAGAAAAAGAAATAGCACCTCTCCTCAACAAGCTGTATGAGTTGGCGTTAAACCTGTTTAAGCGATATTAAAACTGAAGTTTGCAACTCAAACACCACTAATTATTGAAATCTACTTGAAAAGTAAAAATCTGGAAATCTACTTGAACAGTAAAACAGGACACATTACTCAACACCCAATCACTCTTGAGAGTGACAGCAAGCACATAAAAGAAGTGTGGGAATTCTCCACTGACAATCCCTCGTTTTCTTTGATGCACTTGGTCGCCTCAGAAACCATTGCAAGCAGAGTCTAAATAACAAAATGCCTGAATTGTGCCTTTTACCAGAGAGCTTTCATGTGGCCAATCAGAACTGGCCACTTCTGACTCCCATGAGCCACTGAAACAACTGTAATAAAAGGCACTATTCTGCACTGACTGCAATCAATAGATTTTTTCACCTTCCAGTTCCACCTTCCACTTTCACAGTAAAGGGGAAGTATGAGGTAAACAAACACACATTACAGAGAGAGAGAGATAGTACAGAAAAGCGTTTAGACAACTCTTATTCCTTGGTTAGGGTCACTCTTATCCCTGGGTTATAAACAATCTCCACTACAGGCTTAATATGAAGCAAAGCTCACACGGAAGTCACTTTCAAACCAAACAGCTTTCTTTTGGTCATCATGGGGAATCCGTCTGACCAACTGGACCCCGTTGCGAAATCTGCATAGAGAAATCTTTTGCCCTCACACAAAATTCCAGGTCAGGTGGACTCCTATTGAAATGACTGAATTCTGTCAGTGACAATTCATTAAATAACGGTAAATGTACAATGTACGCATTACCGTGATTTTGGCAAATTTTTGCTTTACAAAAAAGGTTTATTGTCTATTGTAAATAGAAGCACAGTCTATTGTATGAAGCACAGATCATGAAAAGTCACTTTAAAACCAAGCAGCTTTCTGTTGGTCAGTGTGGTGAATTTACGTAACCAACTTAAACCTGTTGCAAAATCTTTCGCCCTCAAACAAAATTCCTGACTGCTAATTCCTACTGAAATTACTTCAGTAGATTTCACCCACTAAAGTTCGCTGAATGTGATGGCACCTTTAGTCCTGCTTGTGTGGTACTAAACATATTCAGTGTGAATAAACTGTGCTAAAGCTGTATTAGCATTAGCACTGCATAAGCAGTTGTATTGCTACATAAAAGACTTCTTTAATAACAGAGAACCAGTGTGAAAAAGCCCAAGAGGCACCGTTAGGAGAAAAAACAGGAATATTGTAAAAAGCTGTGAAAAGGAATGAATAATTGTAGCTACATCTGGAAAAAAAAAATTCCAATGGCGTTATGTCAGTGGTCAGATAATCCCAATTGGTCAGATAATCCCAATTCTGTTATGTCCGTGTGAGGTCAGACTGGGAAGATTAAGACTCGAGGTGGATCTAAACGTCCATCTGGGACTTAATCCTTGGGCCTTCAATAAATCAAGAGGCAAGACACAGCATTTTATTAGAGGCATCCTTATAAAGACATCCACGAGGCAGGCAGCATTACAGTAACTGAAAGTACAACAAAATTGATTAAACCAGGAAATTTGATTCAAATGCAATCGATTCTGTACATCTACAGAAGCTCCTGTTATCAGCGTTTACTTAGCACCATTCAGCATTGTGTCTAAATGCCTTAGTGTCCATGCCTTTGCTTTTGGAGAAGCTATTCCATCATTCACTGTCTCTCGTACACAGACAACAGACGAACACATCCTCACACACACCTCCTCTCAGTGCGTACAGAAGTTATTTTAAGAGTGATGACGTGGAGAGGACGTGGTGAGGACAGTTTCTGCCCTTCTACTGATACTGGGTACTTGACTCACAAGGTGTCCTCTTTGTTATAAACATCAACATTTTAGGTTAAAATTAACATGAACGTGTATGACAAAGTGCATATTTTTTAGGTCCTGTAATATTTTACGCAAACACGTTTTTGCCTTCACTATTTCTCTTTAAATGGTCCTGTGGTGTAACATTAATTTTATTTATTTATTTATTATTTATTTTACAATGATTCCAGGTCATCTCTGAATAAATAATTACATATGTATTGATAAATCAATAATAATTTGAGAAAGAATTAGCAATAATATTTAATTTATTTTATTTATTTTTAAGAGTTTTTAGCATGTCACAACACAGGATGGTTTACTAGTAAACAACAGTCTAAAGTCCCATTGAAATGATCTTCTGAAAGCACCGATCAGCCCACTACCGCTCCATCATCTAGGAAGTTTCATTTAAATACTTTGGGGAGCAACTTTTAGCAAGATCTCAAGGCAGGTCCTTTTAATTATAATAGTTTCAGCGCTAAATGTATCAGCTTTGATACTACATCTCAGGCAGCTGCAAAAATTATTAATAAATATAATGTTTTCTTGGTTGGAGTTCTTTGTATAAATCATTGCACATTGGTTGCACCCTAAACTGTAAAAATATTTACGTTCTACCACATGAACTCACAAACGGGAGTGGTTTACTGGTCTATCTGATACTTAATGTTGTGTGGGCAAATTATGCTGCTGTGTTTCCTTAATCTAATCCTGCAACAGATGCATAATCCCAACAGAAATGCACAGGTGACATTGTCCATGAACGCGCGTGCACCTGATCGTCTACAAAAATGGATTTTTCAACAATATCAACAGGCAACTTTTTTTAGACTGTCTAGGTCTCGAGTGTGAAAATCAATGCAAATCTCCTTGTAATTAATTCCAGCAAAATCAAGTCCATCTCACTAAACATCTCAAAAACATGGTCTTCAAACAGTCGGGTGGGTCTAATATGACACAGCACCTGTAGGTAAAGTCCATGAGTGACCAGTGGAGCATGTGAATAACAGACTATGACTGATTTCCATCCTGTAGAGGATAGGAAACTCTACCCGTCACTCCCGACACCTCCAGCCTGCACTAACTAGTGAAGAAGAAGAACAAAGAGCAGAGGAAAGTGCAGATGCATCCGTGTACATACCGTCATAGTTGACAATGATGATGGCGAGCATGTAATCCTTGCCCAGCATGGTGTCTTCCCGAAAGCCCCCAGCGGTTAACTCAGATACATTCCAGTCCAAAGCGTCCCAACATCACCAACAAACTCTGCAGCACACACTCACACACAGGGTGACCACCGCACTCAGTGCCAAACAGCCAGGAATACACTCGCATGCCAAGAGGATTAAAGCCCACACTCTTCTTTTCCTCACTCCGTCTATTCCCTCTTTTATTTTGCCCTCAGGTAATTTCACTGCTGTCTAATCAACCTCATCTTTGTCTTTCTGTCTAATGCTTGTGCAATCATGCTCTTCTCTTCTCTATTCTGTTCACTGTCATTCTGTCTAGCAGAGAGTGATGCTGTTTTGAGATCGCTTCTATCTCTCTCTCTCTGTAACTGTGTGTGTGTGTCTCTCTGTGGATTCTGTAATTCAATAATGCCTGCAGCTATTCCCCCTCCTTCGTCCCTCCATCCCTCTCTCTCGCTCACTCTCTTTGCCTGATGATGGTGCCTTAAGGATGGCTGAACATATAGCTGATGAAAGCAAACAGCTGGGGCAAACACAGCCATCTGTTCCCTATACAATAATCCAGGTGTATATATTTTAAATGGATACATAAAACTATATATATATAGTATTTTTCATTAATCAAACAGGGCACAAACTGTGACGTGTGTTCCTGAGAAGAATTAGTGTCTCCAATCTGCTCCACACAGTGAGGCAGAGAATCACCATCTGTAATGTGAAGAGTAAAAAAAAAAATCTCATTCTTGAAACTGGGGTTGCGTTTCAGTATATTTAAAAGCCCTTTATTTTATTGTTACAATAAAATATGGATCCGAATATTAGAGTTTATGTTATTATGATATGCCATGAATTATTTAATAAAAATGTATGTAACTAGCTTCATTAGACTTCATAACAAGGTTTCTGGGAAATATTTAAGCACGCCTTTAGATGTGTTGTACTGCGATTAGCAAGCTAATGTTATTAAATACTGAGGCGTGTATTACATAACAAAATAATATAAACATATGACTAATACAGCTATGATATGCCATGAATTATTTAATAAAAATGTATGTAACTAGCTTCATTAGACTTCATAACAAGGTTTCTGGGAAATATTTAAGCACGCCTTTAGATGTGTTGTACTGCGATTAGCAAGCTAATGTTACTAAATACTGAGGCGTGTATTACATAACAAAATAATATAAACATATGACTAATACAGCCGCACGGGAACTATTATTTAGGAAATATTTGTGGTCAGTAAAGAGCTGTGGATGTGTAAAGGTTTTTGGTTTGCGTTGTGTTGGTCCACCTTAACTCCTCCCGTCATGAGATCAAGCGAAGTCCGTCATCGTCCGGCCTCCGTTTGCATCACCCCTCTGGTTGCCGTGGCAACGACTTCTCTGTCGCGAGCTTCTGCAGAGTCACCAAGCAGAGACGGGCTCGCGCCTTTATAGTCAGTGTAATAAACAGATGTAACGATAAAATAATGACATAATTATATTTGATGTATATTGCATGTCTAAACCATAGTTCATGTAAGTTTATGAAAATCGCTGTTGAAATATGCTACTATAAAATGAAGCATAAGTCTCAGTTCCCTTGTGAAAGTAAATGTTAACCTTGTGAAATTGTTTTGAATGTGCACTTATTGTGTAGGCTACTATAATTCTTAAAAGTATATTAACGGAATAAAAGGCCACTTAAGAGTACTTGGGGAGAATATGGCTAAGTTTCTTAACACACGTAAGTAACCTACGTGTTTTTTTTTAAGTGTTATCGTCTTATATCTAATATGATCAAATTAACCATTTTAGTATTTCAAAGTACACATTAAATTATGATGTTTTAATAAGCCTTGTCTTTTGTCATGTATTTTGATGTGTTGACCAACATACTAAAGCACATATAAAGTATTTAAATACAGTTGTAACTATTGTGCTATTTGATATTCCATTTAAAGTTAATATATTTCAAATATACTGAATTGCAACTTCATCATTACAAATGTTACACATGAAAATATATTTAAATACATGACATACAAGTTTTAATAGATATGAGATTAAAGTAGCCATTTTAGTGTACCTTTAATGTTTGTAATAAAATAATATGTTATAAAATGAATATAAAATTTTAAAAAATAATAAATTTTCAATTAATTTGTAATTCAGTTAATTTAATTCATAAGTTATTCAACTAATAATTCAGTGTCCGCACTTAATTTTTTAAAAGTATGCTAAACTGTATTCATTTTTCACAAGGGTTCCTATAGCCTATATTAAAAGTTAATAGTTAAAGTTAAAGTTAATTTTAAAAGAATTTTGGTTACTGTGGAGATTTGTCTTGCACAACACAAATTGTCTTTTTTTAATGTATTTTGTACATTATACTATAATAAAACAATTATATTATATTATATTATATTATATTATATTATATTATATTATATATTAATTTGTATTTCTTTATTTACAAATCGTCGAGCATGAGACAGACCCATGTAATCAAAATTAGAGCGCGATCTGGAGTGGACGTGTGTTTCAGGTTGCTCAATCGAGCTCAGGATCTCCGATTCCACACAAGCAGACATGGCTGACAAGGTTGGTGTGCCACCGAACTTACCTAGACGTTGTTTCATAAGTCACTTTCTGTTCTGTAATTTTGATACTGTTCACGATTACTGTTTAGCTATTTTGCATAGCATTTTTGGACAGCGAGATCACGGAAAGAAAACAAAATATGATGTTTCGTACCGTTTTAGGTGGTCACATTGGTGCAAGTTCAACAGACATCAGTCAGTTCCATGTATTTATCTGTCAAATATCTGTCTGTTATGTTAAAAACCTGTGCTTTATCGTATCCTTAAATGTACTTTGATAAAACTTTACAGAAACACGTTTGATAGATGGCGCCGAATTGAAAGGCCATTTCTGCTGGCACGCCCGCAATGACTCATATTTGCTGACAGTCCCGTCAGCCACAGCTATGATGGGGTTGGTTTGTTATTGGCTTCTCAGTATTTGTCTTTCTTGAACAGGATCCATTCAGGCAGCTGAAAGACCTGTGTCTGCTTAAAGACCAGCTCGATAACATTCAGCGTCGGGTGGAGGATGAAGTCGGAGTTGGGATTCCACAGGTAGGACTTCAGATTTTTGTCAAAGTCAGCAATGGACCTCTTTCACGCACTGCGATGACGCATTTCCGCAACAATTAACGTCGTAAATCTAGCATGTTTATTTCCTCCTGGGTCCCAGGCATAGACGTTTGTCCTCTGCAGAGGACATTGCATTTTAGTGAATTTCTCTGAGACCATACATGCCACAGTAAGTCTGGATGTCCTGTACAGAGCACATTCAGGGCTTTTTAAGAGATAAAATATGTTTGGAGGTTTGACCATAAACACTCTCTCTCCTTGGTCTTTAAAAATGACTGATATTAACAGAATGATCAAATTTCGCACTCTTAGGGAAATATGATAATTATGTTTTGTAATTTTGTAATTATCATTTAAATCGGACTAATTTTCAAATAGTTTGTCGTAAATAAACCTCTCAGAAAAATGTTATGGGGTTTCAAATCAGAATATGAGTTTTTGTTATAAAACAGGGCATACTTGTCTTCTGTAGAGGACACCAGGACAAACAGCATGTTAATGAGGCATTTTGGGAAGACACAAGAAGTCAATAGGGAAAGAAATTAATTATCAATCAATATATACATCAGGGCTCGCAAAATTTCTAAATCCCTGGTAGCTCTTCGGGCAGGTACTCTTCAGATTTTGGTAGCCCGAAAATTAATTTAACTAGCCCAAATAAAAAAATACCTTTTTTTTAAATATAGAAAATCAGATAGGATTTTAAATGTCAATCAAAAATATTTTCAATACACAAATATCAACAAATATGAAGGAAGGTATTATTTACAGGGTATCTACAGAATTTGTACAAATAAATTTAAGGCAATTTATGACCCATTTTAAGAGCTGCACAAGTAAAATGAACACAGTATGGTGGGGTTGGACAATGTCTGTGGTAACACAGTATTGAGCCATAAAATTACATGATTTACAGTTCAGATACAGGTTTTCACAAAAAACTAAAATCATATACAACAGC